TTGAGGAGGTAATGTCACATTTTCCAATTATAACTAATTTATTTAATTTTTAATCTATTTAAATTAATTAAATAACTTTTATATTAAGAATTTGATGAAGGATAACTTTTGTCTTGTGTTGAAAGCATGGTCTCATGATTGAATAAGATTTTTATATTGACTTATAATTATAAGTTTTATAATGACAGAATGATGATGTAAAATAGATTTTGGGATTAATTTAATTATATAACTTGATTTTAATGCACAACAATTTGTAACTCAATTTAAAAATTAAATTAAAAAAATGGGTTGGCAGATGAGTCCACAATTGACTTGCGGGGTAGTGGACCAGTTACCTTTTGGCAAGCTAACCCATATTTTCAGATCTAAATAGATTCACACTTCAGTACCAAAAAAAAAAAAAAAGATTCATGCTTGATCTTGAGCGGAATTTTAGGTTATAGTAGTATTTCATAAACAATTTTCAGCATTAGGCTTGAAACAAACTCCCACCTTACGTTTGGATGTAGTGATAAGTAGGTGAACAAGAAAATTAGAGAAAGAAATAGGAAGGAAAAAAAAAGAATGGATACAAAGCAGAGGACAAAAAGAAAGAAGTGGAGAGCACGAGGAGAGAGCATGCTTTTTCAAAACTGTCTCAAGAGGGATAAATAGAAGGGAAAATTTCACTCAAGGACCGCTGAAGGCAATTAACTTCCAAGAGCCCCCAAAACAATCTGAAAAGCCACTGCAGGACCGTGGGGGCAAATTGAAATTAACTTCAAGACCAAAAAGACAGTGTTGCCCCTCAAACTATTACTCTGAAATTTGAAGCCTTTTCTCTCTCTTTCAACTCCCGATATCTGAAGCCCCTCTCCCTCACTCTAAAAATTTCAGTTTGTGCAGCGAAGGAGATCGCTCCCCTCACCTCGCTACTGTTAAATATTTATTTGTGCAGTATTTGTGATCCATTGCTACTAGTATTCCGTCGGCCAAATAAACAATGCGATCGTGTGAACAGTCAGTAATATATGTGTTTTATCTTTTTCCCTGTTTGTTTGTTATGCTGCTGCTTGTTGTCACGCACTTGAAGCACTTTGTACTCATGGAGCTCGGAACAATACGGATTTTCTTAGTTAAATAAAAGTGATATTTTTAAAATAATTTATAATCAGTTGTTAATCCGAAAGATCTAAACTTATTCAAAGAAATTTTTCTGATGGAAATGCGTGTTGAATCTGTGCACAATAAGCCGATGCTCTGGATTATAAGCAATTTATTTTGTATAGTGCTATGAATAGATGGAGAATTTCATGATGGTACTTGGAGGTAAACTACCCTAAGTACTGAACTTAAACTAGCCAGCGACTATATAAATGTATGAACAAATTAATCGACTTGCACATGGACATATTTTTATTGTTAATGTATGTATCCTTATTGCAAAGTTCCTAATTCCACTTGTGAACAATCACTTCCAGATTTGTGAATTGATGTGTTTAATTTTTTGAATGAAATAAATCTACTTGCAAAAGGACGTATTTCTATTGTTAACGAGTGTATCCGTGTTGCAAATTTTCTAATTTCACTTGTGAACCCTCACTCTCAGACTTGTGATAAACTTTTTTAATTGAACTAGCTCACTTGCAAATGGATGTGTTATTCTTATTAATATACATATCCTATTTGCGAATTTTCTAATTTCAGTTGTAAATGATTCCTCCCAGACTTGTGAATAATCATGTTCAACTTCTTGAATTCAACTAGCTCACTTATAAATGGACAAATTCTTGCTGTTAATATACTTATTCTTCTTATGAGTAGGTTACATGTCAATTAATTACAATTTGCTGTCTTTCCCCACTAACTTGCAAGTATGTGATGTACTATTGACAACTCGAATTAGAAAATTTGCAATAAGGATACGTTGATTAACACTTTGATGTCATGGGTATTTGGTTGTCATAAAGGCAATTAGAATTAGAAAATTTGTAATAAAGATACATTGATTCACAAGAGAAACTCGTTCATTTACAAATAGGCTAATATAACTAAAAAAGTCATATATGATTATTCACAAGTCTGAAGAGCTCTAATCACAAGTGGAATTAGGCAATTTGCAATACGAATATGTATATTAACAATAATAACACGTCTATTTGCAAGTGATCTAGTTGAATTCTAGAAGTTGGACATGATAATTCATGTTTGGGAGGAACTATTTGCAACTAAAGTCAGACAATTTGCAAGAAGGATAAGTATATTAACAACAAGAATTTGTCCATTTATAAGTGAGCTAGTTGGATTCAAGAAGTTGAACATGATTATTCATAAGTCTGGGAGGAATTATTTACAACTGAAATTAGAAAATTCGCAAATAGGATATGTATATTAATAAGAATAACACATCCATTTGCAAGTGAGCTAGTTCAATTAAAAAAAGTTTATCACAAGTCTGAGAGTGAGGGTTCACAAGTGAAATTAGAAAATTTGCAACACGGATACACTCGTTAACAATAGAAATACGTCCTTTTGCAAGTAGATTTATTTCATTCAAAAAATTAAACACATCAATTCACAGGTCTGGAAGTGATTGTTCACAAGTGGAATTAGGAACTTTGCAATAAGGATACATACATTAACAATAAAAATACGTCCATTTGCAAGTCGATTAATTTGTTCATACATTTATATAGTCACTGGCTAGTTTAAGTTCAGTACTTAGGGCAGTTTACCTCCAAGTACCATCATGAAATTCTCCATCTATTCATAGCACTATACAAAATAAATTGCTTATAATCCAGAGCATCGGCTTATTGTGCATAGATTCAACACGCATTTCCATCAGAAAAATTTCTTTGAATAAGTTTAGATCTTTCGGATTAACAACTGATTATAAATTATTTTAAAAATATCACTTTTATTTAACTAAGAAAATCCGTATTGTTCCAAGCTCCATGAGTACAAAGTGCTTCAAGTGCGTGACAACAAGCAGCAGCATAACAAACAAACAGGGAAAAAAATAAAACACATATATTACTGACTGTTCACACGATCGCATTGTTTATTTTGACCGACGGAATACTAGTAGCAATGGATCACAAATACTGCACAAATAAATATTTAACAGTAGCGAGGTGAGGGGAGCGATCTCCTTCGCTGCACAAACTGAAATTTTTAGAGTGAGGGAGAGGGGCTTCAGATATCGGGAGTTGAGAGAGAGAGAAAAGGCTTCAAATTTCAGAGTAATAGTTTGAGGGGCAACACTGTCTTTTTGGTCTTGAAGTTAATTTCAATTTGCCCCCACGGTCCTGCAGTGGCTTTTCAGATTGTTTTGGGGGCTCTTGGAAGTTAATTGCCTTCAGCGGTCCTTGAGTGAAATTTTCCCTAAATAGAAACGAGACCTACATTTTATCCACATGATTTTTTTTAAATGAAATTTATCCACATGATATTACTTTTATTGTGAAATTAAACACTTAATTTTTTTTTTCCCCAATTCTGTGTTTTCTCCTATCAAACCAATCATAAAGAGACCTTAATATCATTTTGCCTTTTACCCAAAAAAAAAAAACACCAATCATAAAGAGAGAAAATAGTTTCTCTACCCCTTTCTCTTCCATGCCCATTTTCTCTCTTCCTAGTTTCCTTTCCCTCCTTTCTCCCCTCATCCAAACAAACATTAATCAAACCAAACCACATTAACCATGCTTGAGTTGTCCCACAATCTTCTATAGCATCTATTTGCTGGACTTTTAAATCAAGAAAATATTCAGGAACATCATAAACTGGTGGAATCATGATAATCCTCATTGTAAGTCCTCTAGTTCAGGGTTTAAGAGAGGTTCTTGGCGTGGAAGAAAAACGCAGTGCAGCACAAAATGGAAGCAATGATCGCAAAAACTGCTGAGAAAATGACGAAGGAAATCCTAGCAACTGCCAGATCCAATATTCCCGTCACATTCAAAACGATCACCGTCGTCGTTCTCTTCTACTCTTCTTATTCCACTCAAATTACTCCGGTTACAGATGGAGTGACCTAGGAAGACGATCAGGAGGAGCATTCAGAACTCAACTCCCAAAGAAGATTTGGAGGATCGTGATGACTTGGACATATAGTTATGGCAACCTCTCAGAAGGTTCTTTAAATATGCATTTGTGCCGCGAAAGTTCTTATTTATTTATTCTAAAAAGAAGCAGAAGACTCCAATAAGTTACTATGTTCGATTCTAAATATAAAAACTAGTTGACTAATTTGAGTAGTTTAAAAAAATATGTTAAATTAATTATTTGTAATAAATAGGTTTTTTTTTCCTTAAAATATTCTTAATAATCAAGTGTATTAGCTAGAACTATAATTGTTAAAAAGACTACCTTGAAAAAAATAGACAAATATGATAGATAAAATAAATTGAAGTCTTATATTTAGAATCAAAATAAAAGTTAAACAAGGTTTTATACTAATAATTAGAGATAGTACTATTTTACTTCACACGTATCACTCCTTCTCTTTTTTTTTAATTATTAATTTAGATTCTAATATTATTAGAGCCAAGACCTAATAAAAACTAACTCTACTAATATGATCTTATATAATACTTAAAACCAATTTTTTTTCAAAAGAAACCATCAGCTTTGTTACCCAACCATTGTCATATCACTCCATTCTCTATCTCTTATTATTACTACCACTACTATAGGTCAATAGAGTCTCTTTCAGTTGTCAATACATGAGTTAAAGCCAAGCAATAAATCATTTTATTAAATGCCACCTTTGATGAAAAATTAACTTTTGAACCCAATTGAATCGTTTGGATAAATGCTAGAATATTTTCAGGAATTAAAACAACATTGAATCAAATTGCTTGATTGATTAATTGGAAGAATACCTCAGTTGATCACTGAAGGAGGATGTAAACCTTAGGATAGGACATATATATAGGCCCCCTTCCTGTAATTGCCGCTAGAACTGGCCAATGGAGGAACATATATTTAGGACCGGATGCAGTAGTTCAGATAACTAAGTAATTGCCGCTAGAACTGGCCGATGGGGGAACCAATTTAGCTGTGAACAACTTCATGTGCGATCCTGGGGTGGTTTTTCCAATCATTACACAAAAAACTGGAGCTTCCTAATTGAACTCCTCCCTGTAACCTTGTTGGATGACAAATAAATCAGAAGTTTAAGAGCCTGGCTGAACTCTAAAACCTTCTCAGTAGCCAATAGGTCCTAAACCTGAAGAATCAAACCCCAGCTGTCAATCAGTTGTGAATGCAGTGAGTTGTTTAGTTTCTGTTATAAGAAAGTTAGGGTCTTTAAGATTGATGAACCTGAGGGTGTTAAGGGTTTTCTCCGTGGGATAGGTTTTAACTCCATACGATCAATCACAACAGCATTAGATGTCAGAAAAGCCTTAGCCACAGATGCTGAGTGCTCCAGACAACATCTAACTACCTGCAGAAATGTTCAAAACCTTGAGCAATGCAAGAATCTAATAATAGCATTATGATATTAATCATCATTTGCATTTGATAGGGCATATCAACAGCAGAATTGACAAATGGGTTTGTAGATACTCATTTGGCTTCTCATACTCTGTCACACTTGTTACGACGTTGAAAAGCCAAAATCTTTGAGCTGGAGCCATCAAAGAACCTCAGTATAACTTGCATCCCCATAATAAATAATTTAAGGAAATAGTCTACTTATTATCTCCATTTATCAACTTGTGCAAAAGGTATTCAAATGCTTTTGAGTCATACCTTTGTTGGATCCATTATCCCAGCCTGCATTAAATCTTCATAACGGTCTTTGGCAGCATTGTAGCCAAAATTCACGTCATCATTTGATAAAATCTGCAAGATTTGAGGAGCAAAGGTCAAATACTTAAGATCTATTGCCGTGGGTTACAAACTACAAACAAAACAGAAGATCTAAAACACTTTATACTAAGTGATCTCCTTGAGAAGACAATCTCTCAAAACAGTCAGCACCTTATCTATGATAACATTGCCATTTACACCAGCGTTTTTTGCTATTAATCTTGTAGGATAACTCAAAGCTCTTCTGAAGATCTCGGCTCCAATCTGCAGATATATGATAGATTCAAACAAAATTGTGTTATCTGGAGTAATCTAGGCATAACTCAAGTCCAAGACTTGCAAGTAACTGTAAAGTAGGAACTCAACTATATTTCTAAAACGACCAAAACGTAGCCTAATAATAGTCTTATAATAAAAGAAGTATGGAATGTCCAAACTTAAATGAAAGGGGAAAAATGAAAATGAAAAAGAAGTTACTTTCTGTTCTTCGTTGTCTAGGTGTTCTTTGATACTGTCCACCTTTGTGGATAGCCTCAAAAGGCAACAGCCACCACCAACTACGACACCTTCCTCAATTGCTGCCTGCAATATACCAACTTAGAATCTTAGCCATGCTTAATAACGAATCACATCGGAGCGAAGAATAAGGAATACCTTGGTTGCATTTAGAGCATCTTCAATTCTTAATTGCTTATCCTTCAACTCTACTTGTGTTTGCGCTCCTACCTGTGACTCATGTTTCAGAAAGTATAGTCTCTATCTTACACAGAAACCATAATGTTTAAATTCCCAATTATCCGCAGGAAGAATTAAAAAAAATTCATATTACCTGAAGAATTGCAATGCCCCCAGATAATCTTGCTATCCTTTCATTCAGTATCTTCTTTTGGAAACTCTCTTCCGTGTTCTGCATAATATGAAACAGTTTTTTCCAGTTACCAAAAGGATAGGCAGATACATCATTCCTATAAAAACTTTTCACCGGTCAAGTATCCATGTGTTTCTGTATGACGTCATGAATTTGAAGCGGTGAAGTTCTGAAAGGGAAAATGAAGCTAGATGCACCTCAACAAGCTTCCTAATTCGAGAAACCCTCTTCTCAACCGCTGGCCTAGTACTCCCATCAGTAACTATCAATGTTGAATTCTTTTTTATGACAACTTTAGTCGCAGATCCTAGTACACACCCTTGTTAGCCTTTTCCAGGGTCAACCCCGCCTCATCTCTGATTACAGTGCCTGCAAAATAAACAAAGAGCTCAGGATGTGCAAGAGTATAAGATTTGATGATGACTTGAAGACTATATCAGTTCTTATTCAGAACAAAAGGCAGTCCATACTGAAAAATTATGGATGTTTTATTATGACACAAACCCTCAGGAGAACCATACTTTAAGAGCTAGCCAAGGTTCATATAAGCGTCGCATCAAAATCCCATACTTGTTGGTGTCAAGTCCTATACCTTGCAATGGCTCATAATATATTATGATGAAACTGGTAGAAATTACTGCACTAGTATTTAATTTTACTGCTTTTTCCAGTTTTTGGTTACTTTTTTAATGCTACCTCACTTAATATGGATAAGATTTAGACGCTTAAGCTTCTACCTCCAGTCAAGGTGGCAATGTCATCCAAGTAGTGGCTCTTGCGCTCACCAAAGGCAGGAGCCTTAATAGCAGCTGCCTTCAGCACACCCTTGAGTTTATTTCTAATTACTGGAGCTAGCGCTTCCTGCTCAATGCCTTCTGCAACTATCACAATGGGATACTTCTCTTTCACGGCACTGTCCAATATTTTAAACATCTCCTTTGGGTTTGTGATTTTTTTGTCAACCAATAGTAACTGCAACCAAACAAGTTTGCAGAATCTAATTATTCCATAGAATTGATGCCTAGTTCTTAAATACTTGTTGTCCTACCTTGCAGTTATGGAACTCCGCAATCATCTTTCTTCGGTCAGTGACAAAATATTGAGACAGATATCCACGATCAAACTGCATCCCTTCAACAATCTGTAGACTATTTTCAGTGCTCCTTCCATTTTCAATTGTCACCACTCCTTTCCTACCTACTCGTTCAAGAGCATCAGAGATTAATTTTCCCACAGCATAATCATTTCCAGCACTGACTGCTGCAACATCTGTAAGTTCATGATCTTCAACCTAAAAATGTCGCCATGGTTATAAATGAATATTCACAAAGCTTGAAACTACAGGTAATAGTCAGCAAACAGAAAAATACAACAATTTTGTCAGCATTAGCAGCAAGATATTCGCCGTCGTTATTCTGAACTTGTTCAATCATCGAGGAAACAACTTGAGGAAAATACGAAGTTCATTAGATAGACTACTCACTTCTCTGGAAATCAAAGCTAGTTCAGAAACAAGAGCTGCTGCAGTTTTTTCAATCCCACGGGAAACTTGAACAGGATTCATTCCAGCTGCAATAACCTATAAAAAGAAAAATGATAAGAACAGCTGAAGAGTCATTAAACATATGCCAAGTCTACTCACTTAAACCTACAAAATAACATTTATTGATTCCATACTAGTCGATGATGGTGAACATGTATGTTAAATACCGGTAACTGGTTCATTTTTTTCTTTTCAAAAAACTAGTTGATGCAGACAGGATGCTCCTTGCAGTGTGTACTTGATTAGTTGTACCTTTATCCCCTCGGTGATTAGGCCATGAGCAAGAATAATTGATGTAGTAGAGCCATCACCAGCAAGGTCATTTGTTTTTGCCCCAGCTTGTCTCACCAATTTAACTCCAACATTCTCCAATGGATCTTCTAATTCAATCTGAAACAAGTTTTATCAGGGATCGGGAGAGAATGGGTTCACAGAAGCTAGAGTGATGTTTATGAATTTGATTGCAGAATAAGGTTTTCCAGTTGGAAGAATACATATGTAATTTATCATTATTTCTAATTGTTATAGTTGAGAAAAATCACTTAAAATTCATTATCTATTCTAAGTAGAAAAAGCAAGAGTTAATACAATCTTTAGTAAATTTGACCCCATTTTGACTTTGATCCTTGAAATTTGAAACCATATTTAACTTATAGGCGCTAACATATATAGAACGGGTAAATTTCAAGGATAAAAAAATACTACTTTCAAATTTCAGGGACCAAAACTAAAATGAGATCAAATTTCAGGAACCGAATATTATATTAACCCAGAAAACAAATGCATCATAGAAGATAAATGGCTCTAGCAATTTCATAAAGCCTCAAGTAAAAACCTAAACAAATTTAACTCTTCTACAACTTCCATTCTTATATCATGATTTGCCAAAGGGAAAATAAAAAAGATGGAAAAGAATTTTAACAGAAGAATTACTTCCGAGAGAGGACAGTATTTGAAGGAGTAAAGAAGCTTCCCAATGTAAATGTGTTTAGCATGAACGAAGAATCATACAAGAGTCTCAAGGCTAGGCGCAAAGGCCAGAATTTCAGACTGTCCATAGAGAACCCGTAAACTGGTCATATTGATGGATCAAATAAGTCAAACTCTCTGTGCTATGAGAAGGAACATACTAGTGCCCATAGGCACTAGTACTATAAACTATTTCAGCAATATTCAGTTGTTAACACAGTTATTACTAAGAATTTACTAATCTTCAAATTATATCATTCATCAATTTAGTAGATAAAATTTGCCACATAGGCCATGGCACATGCCACCAGTGATTCCGCAAATTTGGCCCAAAAGTTTTTCCAAGCCTGAGGATAACTACGACAATGGAAAGGGGGGCAAAAAAAAAAAAAAAAATCAAAGAGTAACCTAAAGAACTTAAAGCTGTAATCCCAAAGCAAAACTACATTCACGTACTTCAAAATTGAAAATTGCAAATCCAAAGAAGCAGTAAAACCTGCACCTACCTCCTTGAGAACAGTTTCTCCGTCATTTACTATCTTGGGCGGGCCATACTTGTTCGGCAGCACAACATTTCTGCCCTTTGGACCTAATGTAACTCCGAGAAGCTCTGCCACCATGTCCACCCCTGCCTGCACCCACCAAACCAACTCATTGAAATCTTGTGAAGCCAAAACAAATTGAAGAGTTTAAAACAACTAGAGCCCAGAACCGAAACCAGAAGCTTCTTGGTTGTCGAGCCATCATGGTTGAAGTAAAGCTCTTTGGCCATTGCTCTTGGGTTAGAAACAGAGGGCGAAGCTCGGGCTCTGGAAACCGATGGATTAGAGAAGGAGAATGCAGAAACTGGGGATGGAGAACATGCCATGGCTTGGAATTGTTTTGAATTAAAAAAAAAAAAACCAATTACTTGCACAGCTAAACAAAGAGAAGCAAAGGCAAGGATTTTGGAATACTTCAGGGGATAAGAAGAGTGTGCAGGTAAATGAGAAAATATCTTAGAACATCCACATTTACACGAACAGGACAAAACAAAACGAAATATCTCAAACTATTTTGGCGCTCTATATGTACGTGTCCATGAAAAAGGAAAAATGTGTATCCGGATTCCGTATCATTAACATGACTGAATATACTTGTTGATATGACTGACCAATCTGGGTCGTGAAAATTAGGCTTATTTCTTGAAGGAGGGATATCTTTGGAGATCCTACCTGAAACTGGTTTCAGAGAAGCATTAACGTTGGGGTTGCGGATTAGTAACAGAGGGAGCTTCCTGTCCCTGAGAATCTCATTAAAATTCTTAAAATAACGGAAGCATGTGCCATTTATTAGGTGGTAATTAAAGAGTTAATGACTACGAGTTTTGGCTGGTGTCAGTTGTCCTACTGTATGATTATACTATCTCCGATAATTAATATAAGACCTTGTTTGAGTTTTATTTTGATCTAATTATAAGATCTCGATCCATTTTATTTTTCATATTTATGCAATTTTTTCCAAGACAGTCCTTCTAATAATTGTAGTTTTAGCCAACACACTTGATTAGCAAGGATATTTTAAGAAAGATAACACCTATTTATTACAAATAACTAACTTAACTTATTTTTTTAGTCTCTTCAAATTAGTCAACTAATTCTTATAATTAGAACCGAAGGTAGTAATTTATAAATAAACAAATAAGAATCCTAATTAAATAAGTCCATGATCCCATGCATAATATTCGCCTGCACAAAACTCAAACTCGTAGAAATCTTGTTAAAAGGTATCACTCTGGTATTTTTTTAATTGTTATTTGCAGTAGTTTTTTACATATCAAAAAGATCATTAATATACAAAATCTTTTATTTTTATCCTTATTAAATGGCTAGTATATTTTTTTCTTACTCATTCTCTTTCTTTTTACTTTTACATTGTCTCCCTTAATTAAGGGGAATAGAATTAAAAATGAAGCATTAAAAAAGTTATAAATGACAAATACAAAAAATCAAAATTCCTTCCCACAAATGACAACTAAAAAGGACCAGTAATCTTTTTCGGATTAAGGATCACAGATTCACCTTATGGGGTCAAGAATATGATTATGGAGAAATAAAAACAGAGTAATGAGATACTTCGGAACAAAAGAAATACCACTATGTCAGTTCTTAATATAAAAGTTAGAAAATCATTATAAAATTAGTTAAGTTAGTTATTTGTTATAAATACATATTGTTCTTTCTAAAATACTCCTATTAATTATATGCATTGGAAGTACTGCTTGATGAAAACTACTTAACATGTACAATCATCACAAGAATTATTTGGAAGTAAAATAGATAAATATTAAAGACAAATAGATTAGAATATTATATTTAAAACTAAATTTAATCTTTAATTAGTTTTATATTAAGGATTTGAAGTAATACTAAGTTAAAAGTTTTTAATTAATTTTCTTTGCATATCTTTTTACATCTGTTTTATTATTATTAAAATTTCATTAAATCAACTTTTTATTTATTTCCAAATAAATTTTTCTCACCCTTTGTTAGTACTGGGAAAACGGGCCGGCCCATCACGGGCTCGGGCTTAAACGGGCAGGCCTGTTTGAGCCCGAGTTGCAAAAATAAGTCGTTTTTTCGGGCCCGGCTCGTGAGATGACGGGCTCGAGCTAGCCCGCGGGCTTTTGGCCTTTTTAACTAAAATGAATTTTTTTTATTTTTTGTATATTTTATCAAAATAATAAAAATGAAACAATAAAATTACTAATAAAAGGTATAAATATAAATAAAATTGAGTCACAAATATAAACATTATCATGTCTAAACATATATTACAGTGTAATAAAGTCTATTGAATAAACAAACTAAATAGAGGACAGACATAAACAACTAAATAAGCATTAAGTTCAGTAGATAATTACAATGCGGATGATCTAGTTTGATTATAAATAATTAACAAAAAATTTTAACTAACAAACATAGTATACATGAAGAATAATCATTTGTCATATCGACAAAAAAGAAAAGAGTCCATCATCCTTAGTTCTAAATTTGTTTCTACTATAAAAATGATATAGATCTTTATTTTAGTTTAAAAGATTTTTTGATCAATTATATTTCAAGTATAAAAAAATATTGGAGAATGACAAATAAAGACTATAAAAATTACACATACAGTATTTTAATAGGTTTTGACAACTTATTTAACAATATATTTTTGTGAATATACCTAGTTTTAAATTTTGCAATTTTCATATTTTTTTGGTTATTTTTCGCACAACTATAGTGATTCTTTTTTTCTTTTTGTGAATGCTATCTATGTGAGTTGCCAAGATAAGTAAAACTAAGAGTATGATATGTTTAAAATGTTAGGATTTTCTGTTTTAAGTTAAGAAAAAAAAGACAGAAATTTAAAAAAAAAAATTGGCGGGCCTAAACGGGCCAGCCCGTTTATTTTTCGGCCTTACAGGGCTGGCCCTTTTAAGCCCGACTTCTCTTTCAAGGCTCCAAAATACAAGCCCGGCCCTCGACTTAAACGGGTTTAAACAGGCCGGCCCGACGGGCTCGGCCCGTTTTCCCGGCTCTACCCTTTGTCTCCCCCATTTCGCCTTAAACCAAACGCATCGGTAGTAAGAGACCGAAAATCTCTAATGAAAATCCCCCATTTCGCATATTTATTAACGTTCTTATAATAAAAATATTTGGCAAAAAATAATGGGGTTATGTCTAATGAAAATGACTCATTTTCAGAGCAAAATCAGTTGGCAAAAACACAGGATAAAAATAATATTCCAATTTTTAGAATACTATTAAAACTCGCCCTAAGTCCATCGGTTAGACCAATAACTTGTGAACATGTCCTCTATCCCTATCCCGTCTATTCTAGAGGTTTTGGGTGGGTTGGCTTGATATTTATTTATTTATTAAACATGAGTTGAGTTCGTTTTGATTTTTTAAAATTTAACATTTAATTATTTTTATACTAGTCTAATCTTTAATGCAGGACATAATTATTAAATTGATTTTAATTCTAAATATAAGACTTATATTTTATATTTGTAATTTTTTTAAATTATTCTTATTGATATTTTCTCAACTATAATTAAGTAGAAGAAAAAGAAATGATATTAAGAAGATAGTTATAATATTTTAGAAAAAATATCATATTTTTTATAGTTAACTAATTTATCAAAATTCTTTAATCTAATCAAGTTATTTAAATAGATTTTATATTAAGGACTGAAGGAGGAGTATTTTAATTGTTTTATTGTTGTATTATGTATGGTTGTGAATTACTCTTCCGATCCTTAATATAAGACTCATTTAACTAATTTGATTATATTAAGGATGTTAGGTAAGTTAGTTAATTATAAGAAATGTGATATGTTTTTCCTAAAACACCCTAATCATCTTTCTTAACATCCCCTTTCCCTCTTTTACTTAATTATAGTTGAAGGAGTATCCATAGAGGTAATTTAGAGAAAATTGATAAATATGAAAAATATGTCTTATATTTAGGATCAAAACCAACTCAACAATTGGGTCATATGTTAAGGGCGAGAGAGTAATATCTGTTTTATTTAAATATATATATTTTTAATTAAATTATCGTTGGGTTGATATTGTTGAATCCGTTAGCTCATTGACCTTTTCAACCACGGTTTTCAAGTATCTTGTGATCCGTCCGATTTTTCTTAGGACATATGTTTCAATGAGGTGCCTGGTGATCAAATTGATAACTTCAGCCGAATCAGCGGCCGCCACTGGTGGACGAAGCTAATCCTCCCATCGAATTTTGATGGCCAGGTAAGTGGTATTATAATTACAAGAAACCATCTCGGATTCCGACAGATCTAGGAGGGTTTGTGGTTGCCTTTGTGGGGAATAAAAAATGAATTTCCAAAAGGCGGTTTTGGGGAGGTCCATAGTGAGAAGTGGAGAATTGAGTACGCATAAACATAAAGCTGACCAATTTTTTTTTACAGATTCCATTAAAGCTATAATTATGGCCCCTAGTTGAATGTATGGTTTTCTGTCGAAAAACCATCTATTGATATCTTTGACGATTGTGGTGGGATTTCATTATCTGTTTTGATTTTCGACGCCAATAGTAATAAGCTACTTGCCTTGAGCAAGATAATATTTTTATATTAAAATGATCTGTTGTTCATATATCTTCCACGTAGTTGTACTATTTCATCATGTTTCATGAGATTAACTTTATGTTCTGCACAAATGCAAGAAGAAGTCTGATCCTGTCATGATTCAACCTGGATATACAAAAGCTGATAGTGAAAATTTCAGTTTTCCCACCTTTTGTATTGTAGAGTAAAAAGATCCAAGTTACCTAATAGATATCTACACTGACATGAGAACATTTACAACTGTAACACACAGTAAAATATGAAATATCTATACAATCCCTCCAGTCCTCATTATTTGACCCTTTGTTTAACATTTTACTTTATATTTGATACTGAATGTGGGACATGTGTCAAACATGGAACAAGTACTTGTTTTGATAGTTTGGGTTAGGACAGGATATATAATCTTAATCATAATTGAATATTGGGAAATCTGGAACTATAATTCAACCATCCTTAGTGTGACAGATGAAAGGAAATAAAGATGCAGGAAAAGAGATTTGTGAGAGAACACACATCAGAAACAACTGAAGAAAAATAGTACAAAAAACTCATCACAAGGAGTGCATTCAGGTCACTGTCAAACGTGACTCATGCATGACTCTTTTAGAGGAAAAGATGAAATATGATCCATGTGCCAAAACTTTACATAATGATTATATAATGTTTTGCCACAAATAATATTTGGGCATTAAAATTTTGTTCTTGTGCCATTTTATGTTTTTACCATTTCTGGATTCCATGCAGATTGCTTGCCAAATTT